TGGGGCACCATGGTTCTGGGGTTCAGTTTAAACTGCCCTTTTTGTATGCCAATATTTTTAATGTATGGGGTCATGAGTAATGGAGTGGTATGTTTACGGAATGTCATTAGGATTAATTGTCTAATGGCAAGCGATACCTATCAATAAAGAGGCATAGATTGCCTCATGAAGTGAGGGTCCAAAGAGAGGCTGGATAGTCATCTATCTGAAATACTTCAGATGATCCTGAATTAAGAGCCACCATGAGGGTGGCACAGTGGTTAGAATGCAGTATTGCAAGCTAATTCTGCTGACTGCCAGCAGTTCAATTCTCACCAGGGGTCTTCAAACTTGGCCCTTTTGTGATCATTCTAATAGCGGTCTACAGATGCTTTAACAACATTCACTAACTCAGTGGAATCTGCATCTCATTTTAACCTAAGTCAGGGGTCTTCAAGCCTGGCCCTTTTATGACTTGTGGACTTCAACTCCCAGAATTCCTCAGCCAGTGTGCCTGGCTGAGGAATTCTGGGAGTTGAAGTCCACAAGTTATAAAAGGGCCACGTTTGAAGACCCCTGATTTAAAGGTTCAAAGACAAAGGCCTTAGTGCTGAGGAACACAAAATTCCTATAGTTGACAGAATAGTTTCAGATAATTAAAACTCTGTATTGCCCCCCCAGACAGCCATCAGCATGTTAAACTAAATTGCTGCCAATATTTAGCTTAGAATGAATATTAAAAAGGAGGTGATCTATTGGAATCTCCCTATCACTGGAGCCCCCACGGCAATGCTATAATTGGTTATTTTAAAACTATCACCGCTGAGAACAGTTCCTTGTAAATAATAATAATAATAATAATAATAATAATAATAATGATAATAATAATAATAATAATAATAATAATAATAATAATAATAAAGTTGGAAGGGACCTTGGAGGTCATCTAGTCCAACCCCCTGCTCAGGCAGGAAACCCTATACCATTTCAGACAAATGGCTGTCCAGTCTCTTCTTAAAAACTTCCAGTGTTGGAGCATTCACC